AGCAGCTCAGAGTACTATCTGCGCCCTTATTGCAACAGCAGGTCTTTCTCCAGACACGTGAATGCTGGCTTTTTAGTGGTAAACTGGTACCACTGTAGCTATGGGGCAGCCGGCCATATATTTTGTGAAATAATTTAATTGGTTTTCAAGTCTGCATTCTGGAAGCAGTTGCTTCACTACCCAAAATGTTGCATTACCGTTTGCCTTTGAACCAGATTGGAAGATGTGAAGATAGTTCCTGATTTTAGGCAGTGAAAGAACTTTTCAATCTCAGAGACAAGATTTAAAGGACTGATTTATTCCGGGCCTCGGAGTACAGGGGCAGCACCAATCAAAGGCAAGGACTTCTGCTGTAAAGATGCTGTTACTTCCCCGCAGTCTCTTATCCCCTCTCATTGCTCTCAACAGCAGGAAGCTCTTTCTCGTTTCTAATTTTATCTCTTGCATCTCTGTAGGCTGGGTGGGGAAGTGGAGAAAAGAGCCACTTGGCGTCCTCACAGCAACTCACAGGTGCTGGGAAAGTTAACCCTCCTCTTTGGGCAGCATCATGCCTTTCCTGTTCTTTTTGGCTTTTCTTTCACAACTACTGAATTGTCTGTTCCTCTTCTCTGACCCTCTTCAATGTCTTTGTAAACTGCAGACTTTGAATAACAATCCTGGCAAATTAAACAGGACAGAGGGTACTTGAGATATAATTTCACTGGCCAGCTAGGTGCAGGACCTCGTTCCTCACAGGAGTGGTACAAAGTAAGCCTGCAGAATTACCGAGATGGCAGAACATGCAACATCGTCCTGCCTTGTTGCTAGGATTGAGCAAACAGCAGTTCAATCTAAGTCCCTGTCTTTTCAGAGCAGGGATATGGTCCCCTCCCCTGGTTGCCATGGGGATGGGAGCAGGCACCATCAGGGAGGAGGAGCCCAGCATCTGGTCTTTGAAAGTCTCCACTCTAATGTAGTCACCCTTGTTAGAGCTGGTGCTGGTGTTTCTGTACCAGAGGCAGAGAAGTCCGCTCTGCCTGAGAGCAGATGTGGAGGGAGAGGGGATATTTAGGAACAAAAATCCAGCTTCCCACTCTGGATGTGTTAGTGTATTAGTAAGCTTAGGCTGCAGTAACAAAATATCGTAGAAATAATGCCATTTGCAGAAACATGGGTGGACCTGGAGATTGTCATACTGAGTGAAATAATTCTGATAGAGAAAGACAGATATCATATGATATCACTTATATGTGGAATCTAAAAAAAATGATACAAATGAACTTATTTACAAAACAGAAACAGACTTACAGATATTGAAAACAAACTTATGGTTACCAAAGGGGAAAGGTGGGGGAGGTATAAATTAGGAGTTTGTAATTAATATACACATACTACTATATATAAAATAGATAATCAACAAGGACCTACTCTAAAGCACAGGGAGCGCTATCGCTATTCTATAATAACGTATATGGGAAAAAAATCTGAAAAAGAATGGACATGTGTATATGTATAACTGAATCACTTTGCTGTATACCTGAAACTAACACAACATTGTAAATCAACTATACCCCAATATAAAATAAATATTAAATTTAAAAATTATGATAGACTGGGCCGATTAAACAGAAATGTATTTTCTTGCAGTTCTGGAGGCTGAAAGTCTGCAGTCAGGATGCTGCCATGGTCAGGTTCTGGGGAGGGCCCTCTTCTTGGCTTGCAGACTGCTCACTTCTCTGTGTCCTCATGTGGCCTTTCCTTGGTGTGTACATGTGGGGAGAGAGATCTCTCTCTCCTCTTCGTATAAGGCCACCATCCCATCATGGGGGCCCCACCTTCACAAACTAATCTAACCCTAATCACCTCCTGAAGGTCCTGCCTCCACATACCGCCACATTGAGGGTTGGGGCTTCACCATATGGATTTGGGGGGGACACAGACATTCAGTCCCTGACAATTTGTTTTCTATTTCTGCAGAGCAGTTTTCTGCAAACTTTTCAGCTTAACACAACACCCATTTACCATCTCACAGATTTCTTGGGTCATGAGTCTGGACATGGCTTAGTAGGGTCAACTGGCCAGGGTCCCACAAGGCTGCAGTCAAGGTGTTGCCAGGGCAACATCATTTCAAGATGCTGTCCCTGGGGAGGGTCACGGAATAGCACATCCTACTCACACTCAAGGGGAAGGCATTATACAAGGTCGGGATCTCCGTGCCTCATTGCGTTTGATGGTTTTATTCTTTGGCTTCGTATAGGGGACTTGGATCCATTCCCAATTATAGTTATTATTGATATTTAGAAATGTAAATTATCTTCAAGAAGCAAATGGTCCATGTTTGTTGGAAGTAAAATTATTTGAGGGGATTTGTGGAATTATAACTTCATAATGAAGATGGGAAATGTCAAGAATTTTTACCGTGGCCTAAGATAAGTGCTGTTAACTTCCTTTGTGTTTAGAAACCCCTGCTCTTCGGAGGTCCAGTAAAATCCTTGTTGTAAGTGGCCTGGTCATTGTAGAGACTTGATAGTTTTAGCAGCTTCAGCTTAGAAGATGAAGGAGTTCTGTCTGTGCGTATCAGAGAGGACTTGAGAGGTCTGGGGTGGTTTGGGAGTTCAGTGGGGCCCCATGTTCTCTCGAATTCCTAGGCCCTTCCTGGGTGAGGAGGCGTTGGGCCACATCTGGAAGGTTGGGTGAAATTTCATCTGGTAGAAATGGGAAGGAGAAGGCAGAGCGTAAGTGGACATCTTCTGGGAGATAGTCTGAGAATTCTCATCCTCTCTCCAGGCTCAGTCTGGGCGTGGCCAGTGTTGGTGTGAAGGGCAGACAGAGGACACTGTGGAAGCCCCATCCTAGGCGGATGGTGGGGTCAGAGCTCAGCCCCCAGAGCTTGGCCATCATCTGAAGGAAGAGAAAGGGGTGGGGCTGAGGCAGGGGGCCAAGAGGTGGGCGGTGACAGGAGGGGAGTGCTGAGTATGGAGGGAAGACAGGCTGCAGGGGTTCTGTTCCAGGGCTCGTGTTTGAGAAATGCAGTGGCTTTGGTGCCCAAAGTGGCCAGGACATGAGTGGAGGGTCACTTAGGGCGGTGCTGGTGGGAAATCAGGGACCTGATTTGTGTGGGTCTGGTTGCCTGGCCAGGGAGGTGACATTCACCAGACAGAGGCGTCCAGCGCAGTTCCAGTGGAGGGGCAGAGGTGAATGAGTGGCTGAGCACCCCGTCCAGGCAGGTAAATCATGAGAGCGAGGGCAAGCAGAGGGGGAGGGGAGGTGTCGAGCGGAAAAGCCAGCCCAGCTTCACGACTGCGGCTCCTGAACGTGCCAGGAGCTCAGATGTGGGTGGTGGAGTTGGCAGAAGTTTTGGATTCTCCACAGGAAGGTTTGGAGGTGGAGAGAAGAGGTCAGGGTGTGTGCTATCCAGCATGAGGTGATGGTGAGAGTCCCGGCAGCCTATCCTTAGGAGAAATGGCAGCTCAGTCCAACGGAAAAGGACTAGGGGGAAGTCGTATGTCCATTGAGGAGGAAGAATTCGACACCAGAGAGGGTGTTCCGATGGGTGGAGTGTTGGGTGCAGAAGGGGAGAGAGCGGCTTTAGAGGCACATGGAGAAGAATGATGGAGACTTGGCCTCGAAGACCGTGGGGCAGGGGGCTGGGGAACAGCAGCCCAGGGTTTCTGTGACGGCTGGAGCTGGAGCTGGGCGGCATCACGGAGAGAGGAGACTCGGGAGGCGGGAAAACGGTTGTCTAACATTTGCAGCGTTGGCTGCGTTTGGAAGAGGCATGTGCCCTGAAGAGAGAAGGTAGATGTGACAGGCTGGGGAGCAGAGCATGCTAAAGCTCTTCCATTCATTCTTTTCTGTTAAGTGTGTGTGTGTGTGTGTGTGTGTGTGTGTGTGAGAGAGAGAGAGAGAGAGAGAGAGAGAGAGAGAGAGAATAAGGTTTAAAGCCTTTCATATAAACACAACTGGTCCGGGTGTTGTTGGACATCTGAGACCAGCACGGCACTGAGTGGGTGGAGGCTGCAGGGTCTAAGACTCGGTCCCGCTCAGTGCAGAGGTGCCGGAGGGTGAACTGGGCTCTGTCACCAACGGGACCTTGTGGGTCTGTTCGATTGCGTGTTCTCCTCTGGGTCTGGGGTCGGTCCTTTTGGAATCCCAGGGGAAGCGCAGCCCGGCCCCCCCAGCCTGGTCCTGGACTGCCTGGCCCAGGCCCACGGTGGAAAGTCAAGGTGGTAACGGCCCTTGTCTGTTGCATTCAGCGACCCCTCTGAAGGCAGATTGTGGTGGTCAGTGGGCACGGGGTGCAGCTGTGTCTCTGTGGTCCAGTGGCCCTGCTTGGACACAAGGAGACTGGGAATATGGGGATCAGCAAACATGGGTCTGACGTGGGCTTGGAGGGCAGCCCGGAAGAAGGGTGGGCCAGGAGCCGAGGGTGGTTCTCCCGGGAGTCGGCAGACACAGGGCGACAGGGGAGCCAGGGCGGAGGGGGCACTGCTGGGGAGGTTCTGGGGGGACACTCTCGGCAGGACGGGGGCCAGGGGTCAGGCAGGGCTGGCCTGGGCCGGGGCGGGCAACTTAGAGCCAGTGTGGACAGCGAGGGAGCCTCCTCGGTGGGGTGAGAGTGAAGGGGAGACCCCTGTAGGGGCTGGGGGGGGGGTCCCACGTGTGGGAGAACAGAGGGAGCCTTCAGGCCACTGTGCAGGTTGCGGGTGACCTGTGAGTGGGGACAGCACCGCCTTCCCCAAAGTAGTGTGTTCAGTGCTGTCTGTGATGTTAAATCACAGAGCAAGTATCTCTCAGGACCTGGGAGGATAAGGCTGAGGGCCCGGGGGTGGGTGGGAGGCTTGTTCAGAAAGCGCATCTGCTCTCAGCATCCCTGCGAGCTGGTCACTCTGGCCCCGCGTGGTGGCTGCAGGTGTGACTGTCGGGAGGGACAGACCCACCACCGTGACCCGCTCCTGCCTGCGTGCTGTGCTCTAGAAAAGTCCTGGGAGGCTCCTCATCCCCTGCTCCCTCTGTTCCAGGTGCTGCTGTCGGGACTTATCGGCGTCGTCTCCTGGAAGAGGCCCCTGTCCCTCGTGGTAAGTGGCACCCGGGTCCCCATGCGGCCATGGAGCAGGGCTCTGCCAGCGGAGGTGTGAGTGCTTTCAGGGCGCGTTCGTCTTGACCATGGGCATCCTGCTGCCCCCTCCACAGGCGCTCACGGGCCATCCTTTTCCTGTTTTTCGGTGTTGTGCCCTCTTGGAGGACATGCCACCAACAAAGGCATTTTAATAAGTGCAGATGCAAGCGTTTTCTCTAGACTGATAAAGACGATCGTGCACATGCATATGCTTACGGGTGATCACACAATAGGACGTAGCTCATCCAAGTTCGAGAAATGTTAGCTTTCTGTATGTTTTGGAGACTGAAACTCTATGAGGTATTGGTATTTCTTTGCATAGATGTTTCTTTGGAAGAAGGAAGAAAGGGGTGCCCCTGGAGCCCTCTCTCATGGGGTCAGGCCTCATGCTGGGGAGGAAGATGCCACATGGGGGGGTGGAAAGAGGATGATGGTTTTTCCATCTGAAAGTACCCAGAGTGAATTTATGTCTATTGATTTGTATGTGTGTTCTTCTCAGCATGTGCATTAATATATTTATGTGTCCACGTCAGGACTATACGGAGAGGTTTTCTGGGTTTTGATGGATAATGAAAAAGACGGCATGGATATTTTCCTCTTAGGTAGTAATCAATTATTTAAAATCTCTTCCTTAAGTGATTAGACTTGGAGATAATGACATACTAAATATTAATGGAAATAGAAAAAAAACCACAAATCTTGTCTGTTGTAAACACCTCCTCCTTCGTGAGGGGAATCATGACATCCTGAAAAGGCACTGGGAGGGAGGGGTAGTTTAATTCAGGAGGCCTCCTCTTGTACAAAATACTGAGAAATTTCCTTAAAATTGTTTTATATTGAAATTTTCAAATATTCACCGAAGTAGAGAGACTAGTATAATGAACCCCGTGTACCCCTATCCGTCCTCAATGGTATCAACGTTGACTGGTCCTGTTTCATCTAAGCCCCCTTGCTGGATTATTTTAAAGTAAATCACAGCTTGTGTATCGAGACGCTGACTCTTCTGTGCAGGGGCAAGTGGCGGCAGACACTGGGCCGTGGGGCCTGACGTTTTGGCTGTGCTGTGGGTCCCCTTCAGGGAAACGGGAACAACCTGCTCATCCCTCCTGACCTACCCCCACCCTGCAGTGCAGAGAGAGTAGGCCCTCAGCCTGGCGTCTGAACAGAGGAAAGCCACCCTCCTTCGGGTGGGTGTGTGGGATGGGAGAAAGGGCACCTGTCCCCCAGCAACCGCACGCCTGCCCCAGCCCTACCCTAGGACGGAGCTTCTCGGGACTGGGCATCTTACTGCGAAGGATGCACGTGCTCATGCCTGCTGAGGGGTCAGGACTCCTTGTGCAGGTGGCACAGGTGTGTCCTTGGGGTTGGGGGGTGCCCGCAGCAGTAGGGTGGGTCTCGGGGCCTCGCCCAAGGAGGGTGGCCCCAGCGGGAGCCCCTGCAGCCGAGCTTTCCAGGGGCTCAACCCCCAGCTCTGCGCAGCCCAGCAGCTCTCCAGGTAGACGAGGGGGAAGGGCTCCCCCAGCTCAACTGGCTGCTTTGCTGAGTAAGGGAGGTAAGGGGTCGGTTAGGGTGACGCCAGCTGCTGTCAGACCCCAGACTTCGTGTCTTAACTCCGTGAACACCTGCTTCCTGCTCCCGTCCAGGTGGGCCTTCCAGGCAGCGGCTGTTCCCCCAACACGAGATTCAATGACCCCGCCTGCTTCCACGGGCGGTCCTGCACTCCCCAGGCCCGTGGGGTCCCCTGCATTTCAGTGAAGGGGGGAGAGGATGGAGGAGAAACACGTGCTTCTTGACTTCCTTGGCCTGAAAGGGACACTCATGCTTGCACGTCACACCAGTGGGGAGGGCTCGTCACGGGGCCCGAAGCGTGTCTGGTTGGGAAGGGAGCTGGAAAAGGTGGTCCCTCCCTGGACGGGTCCCTCCCAGAGACGGCCCACATTGTGGAGTGGGGACAGAGTCTTGGCGGAGAGCTGGTTGTCTCTGCTGTAAGGACACTCTTCTGTCTGTTGACCAGGATGATACAACTTTTGATTCGTTAGCAGAAAACTCACTCTCTGAACTGTGAGCGTTGATGTGGCCTTAGTTTTCCTCCCTGCCCAGCCTCATCCTGACACTTGGACCCTCTGGACTGCCGGCGTGTGGTGTGGCCCCCAACTGACAGGTCCTCCCCTACCCCTCTGGCCTCTGCCCTGCCCTTCCACTCATTAGGGCTCGCTTCTCGCTGCTTCCTGGAAGCCCTCCTTCTCCCCAGGCTCCTCCGAGCATCTGCGTCCAAGCCCCTTATCGTGTTCCACGACATGTGGGGCCCACCTACAAACTACTGTTAACAGGAACCACGTGCTGGGCATTTCCTTTATGCTAAGCCCTGCACGGGATCCGCTGAGCTTATCCACACAGTATCCTTGTGAGTAAGCTACTGTTTTTATCCCCATTTTCCAGATGAAAAGGAAGACTTAGAAAGGTAAGTATCTTGCCTAGGGTCTCACAGCTAGAATAGCTTGAAGTCTTGATTTAAATAATTCCTTTTTTTTTTTTTTTTTTTTTTTTTTTTTTTGGGCTCTCACTGTTGTGTGGTACACGGGCCTCTCACTGTTGTGGCCTCTCCCGTTGCGGAGCAGAGGCTCCGGACGCGCAGGCTCAGCGGCCATGGCTCACGGGCCCAGCCGCTCCGCGGCATGTGGGATCTTCCCGGACCGGGGCACAAACCCGTGTCCCCTGCATCGGCAGGCGGACTCTCAACCACTGCGCCACCAGGGAAGCCCAATAATTCCTTTTTTTTAAGAATTATTTTTTATTGAGGTGACATTGGTTTATAACATCATGTAAGTTTCATGTGTACAGCCTTGTATTTCTACATCTGTGTATGCTGCAGTGTGCTTATCACCAAATATCCAGTTTCTATCCATCACTCCTCCACTGAGCCCCTTTCCCCTCTGGCAACCACTATTCTGTTCTCTGTATCTACGTGTTTGTTGTTGGTTGCTTTTGTGTGTTCATTTATTTTGTGTTTTGTTTGTTTTTAAGATTCGACATACAAGTGAAATCATACAGTATTTGCCTTTCCCTGTCTGACTTACTTCACTTAGCATAAAACCCTCAAGGTCCATCCATGTTGTCACAATTGGCAAGGTTTTATCTTTTTTTATGGCTTAGTAATGATCTGTTGTATATATGTACCACATCTTCTTTATCCATTCCTCTGTTGATGGACATTTAGGTTGTTTCCATGTCTTGGCTATTGTGAATAGTGCTGCAGTGAACATCGGGGTGCATGTGTCTTTTCAAATTAGTGTTTTCTTTTTCTTCAGATATATGCCCAGCAGTGGGATTGCTGGGTCGTATGGTAGTTCTATTATTAATTTTTTGAGGAACCTCCATACTGTTCTCCATAGTGGCTGCACCAATTTACATTCCCACCAACAGTGTAGGAGGGCTCCCTTTTCTCCACATCCTCTCCAGAATTTATTATTTCGTGCCTTTTTGACAATAGCCAGTCCAATGGGCATGAGGTAATAATCTCATTGCAGTTTTGATATGTGTTTCTCTGATAAATAGTTCTTTTATACCAAGCTCCAGTTTTATCCTTTACTCTAATGGTACATTTCCATCTTCCTGAGGCATAAAACTGAAGAGGCCACTGTGAGTTCTGGTTCATTTCCAGGCGGACACGACACCCTGCCCCCCCCGGCCACGAATGACCACGAGAGCGAGTTGCCCTCTCTGAAGGGAGGTGTCTGCCCCTCGAGGTGTTGGAAGAGCCTCGCAGGCTGGCTGGAGGAGGCCAGGAGTGACGCTTATGTGGGGCTGTGGGGGCTGCCCTGGGTTGGTTGACCATATCTCTCCTCTGACGGGCTGGTGAGTGTGGGCCCGTCACAGCCCTGCTGGGCGTCCTTTCTCTGCCTCACTCTGAGCCCATCAGACAGAGTGAGGTGAGGGAGGGGGTGTAAGCTTCAGGCCAGAGCGACTTGATGTGTTGTGGGTGGTGGAGGGGCTTGCGTTGGGAAGGAGGACAAGGTGAGGGCAGCAGGCTGGCTGATGGGGCCAGAAAGGAGGCTGCCCTTTCCAGCTGGGGCCTGTGATGTGAGGGGAGGAGGAGGGAGTTGCTGTGACATTCTCACCATCGTATTTTCTAAGAGCCTTTCCAAATTCTGAAACAAGGCAGGCGCTACGCCAGTAGAGAATACGTATGTTCACAATTTTTTTCATTCATTTTTTTCTGTGTGCTAAGTGTCTCCTATGATTGAGATAATTGTCTTCCTTACATCAAACTATAAAAGGTTCTACATTACGCTAGATGCCAATTAAGATTCAGATTGTATAGCTCTGATTAGCTCATTTTTTTGAAAGATTCAGTGGCATGTCTTGTGATTGCTTATACATATATCAGTATTGGAAACAGTCTCACACATAATCACAGGTAGTACAGGAGCCCCCTCCCACCATCCACGGTCCCACTTTACATGGTTTCAGTTACCCACCCTCAGCTGCAGTCTGAAGATATTAAATGGAAAATTCCAGAAATAAACAATTCATAAGGGCTTCCCTGGTGGCGCAGTGGTTAAGAATCCGCCTACCAATGCAGGGGGCACGGGTTTGATCCCTGGTCCAGGAAGGTCCCACATGCCGTGGATCAACTCAGCCTGTGTACCACAACTACCGAGCCTGCAGTCTAGAGCCCGCGAGCCACAACTGCTGAAGCCCGCGTGCCTAGAGCCCGTGCTCTGCAATAAGAGAAGCCACCGCAGTGAGAAGCCCGCTCACCACAGTGAAGAGTAGCCCCCGCTTGCCGTAGCTAAAGAAAGCCAGCGCACAGCAATGAAAACCCAATGCAGCCAAAAATAAATAAGTAAATTTTTTTTAAATTAAAAAAAAAAAGCAATTCATAAGTTTTCAATTTCTTTCTGTTCTGAGTATTGTGGTGAAACCCATGCCATCCCACTCCAACCCCCCTGGGATGTG